ACACACACACACACACACACAGCATTTATATACAGAGAGAGATGATTATGTAATTTGAAATGCTGAATGCATTTTATAAGAGCTTATAGGAGCAACTAGCGAGCATATTAATAATTCTACACCAGATTTCTCAACCTTTCCAACTTTGTAGACTGGCGAGCGGGGGTGTTGGTGTTGGTTCCACACTCACAAGTGTGAATGCACTCACCCGCTACTTGCGCAAGTGGGGATGTACGTGCACGTTAACTCGCCACTTCCTCAGCCCAGTTCTGAATGGCTCAAGGCCCAGTAGTGAGCTGTGGCCAGGGGATTGGGGACTCCTGTTTTACATAATGCTAAAATCAGTAAATCTTTATGTCATTAACCCTAACCCAGGGTACTTCTATAAAGTTAACTCTATTTAATTAATTTAAATTACATAAAGCTTTTTTTGGCATAGATGTTTTGTCTTTCCTATTCCCTATTTTGACCTTAATGGCCATTTAATTTTGATAATCCTAAAATAGTAAATAAAGGCAACTTTTTACTTATAAACTAATGTTTGAATTTCTTGTAATTATAAAGTGCTTAATGAATATAGTAAAAGAGCTGCAGTTAGCAATCTGTATCATAGAAGCTCCATTGCCTAAATAATGACATGAAGCAAAGAAAGCACCTTGCTGCCGAATTGGAGATAAAATTGTGTTCAATACCTTGTTCCAGCCTGGAAACTTCACATAGGTGTCATAGTTGATACCAGGTGTTTTGAAGACCCCAGTATAGAAAGCAGGTCCTCTGGTGCTTTTGCTTCGTGGGACATATGGAGGCCATTTTTGGGCCACAGCTGAGTCAATATCAAGTGGATAGATGAGCCAGTCACTTAGAATGGTAGAACCCAAAGTAAGATTGTGGGTCAGGCCCTGGGCAAAAAAGAGAAAAGTGCACCAAGATGTGAAAAGAATAGCATACACTTGGCTTTTAATCTGTAGCCATTGTGTGAGAAGAGAGTTGAATCCTGCTGATTGTCAAAACTATCAGCTATTATCTATAAGGATAAGTCATTTTTCCTGCAGTAGGATTCTTTAAGGTTTTTCCCCTTAAAAGCTGGAATAAAGCTATTGAGACAACTAATAAAAGTTGCACCAGAACTTGCAATGATTGAAAGTGAGTTCATTACACTTTTGCTTTACAGCTCATTTTTCACAAGAGTGCCTAATATTTTACAAGTCTCAAAAAAAAAACCACCCCAAATTCTTTCAAATTACTTATGTTGCTGCTTATTACCTAGAAACTGCTTACTGTTCTGGAAAATACTTAACTTCGAAGTGTGATAATGTAGCTGTCTAGAGTCCATTCCAATCCAATGTACCTCTATGAATAAAAGTTACACTTTACCTACTATTTCCTGTAGTACCTTAAAGTCACTGTTATTTGCTCCAAAGTTGATATGACCCATGCTCTCCACCAGCAAATCCAATGAATCTCCTAGTCGACCAGTTATATTGATGGCATTCACTCTGTCTCGTATCAATGTCCCTTTAAATTCCTCAAGGGAGAAAGAATAAAGGATTAACAATTGAATAGCACTTGTAGAATTGAAGCAAAACCCCTATATCACTCAGCAGCCTTAAGCAATCACTATGAGAACCAGGGACATTTTACCCCTGGCAGTTAAAGGCCTGGATCATATAAATGTCTCCACTTTTCAGCTTACTCCATTAAGTAAAACATAGGCAAGGTCATGGATCCCATTTTCAAGGATGGAGAGCAAAACAGGCTGTGGGATGTCATCTGGAAAAACAGTACGGTACAACATAAAGCCATGGGTCTGAAATATAAAATGAAACTAATGCAAATGTGGACTGCAATTCAAACACCAAACAGGCAAGATCCCCCGCCCCCTCAGCTTCTCTGAGTTTCTTGAATTTTCTAGTGGAATTGCTCTTAGCTTCCCTTTTTGATGCCACAGACTTCACTTCTTACCTGCATCAGAGCCTCAAAAGTGAGGGGGAAGGGAGAGTGAAATGGTAGGCCAGGGGAGAGAAGACTTAGAATATCCAAGAAGGCCACACACTGTAAGAAAAAACTGAAATTGTATTTATGCTATTTAAAAAGTAAGATATAAAACACATATTTCCCCAAATCATTTCCATTAAAATATCAAATAATGTTACAAAGTAAGTATACAGCAACGTTAAAACAAGCAGAAAGATAACTATATCATTTTAAAAATGCTTTACCATATAAACATATCACTGTTTAAAAATGAGAAAAGTGGTTTTGCTAAATTCCTGATGTGGGCATGGAGCAAAACATCTCAATACTGGTGCCATCAATACTATCAGACATGTTTTATATATCAACATCTCTTTTCTGTTCCAAAATCTGTTTTAATATCTTTTATTCCATCTTAGGAAACAACATGTAAGACTACAGGAATAGCTTAGCCATTAACCAATTCATGAACATCTGATGGAATACAGTATCTTCAAACTTTAACTTACCAGTGGTAAAGATACATAGCCATATGAAAATTTGGGAGTGGGAGGTGGCATTGGTCCTGCAGGCACACGTTGAAACTGCATTTTTTTTTAAAAGCAAAAGAGATCAAACTTAACATCATTTTCAGCTGACATCACAATATCATCAAGGTGACATCACCTTGCCTTGAACTTTTAAGCAATTCATCTAAATTCCCAGTGTTATCTATCATTTGCTAATGAAACATCACCACTCCCTTGTTCCAAAAATAGCAGTACTATAAGTGGAGGAGAATGAAAAAAATAATTGCTGAAATAAAGATTGGTACATGCAGGTCATTCATTGGAGATTTGGATGTGGGGACCCAAACTTAATTTAACACCCTTTTACTTGATTGCATTATTGAACCAAATTTGGCTATATCATGGTCTTCTGGTGCAGTAATACCAAGCTATGGTACTCATTCCATTCCTCTGCTTCCAGGAATCATGAATAGAACTTACCTCTTGCTTCTAACACTTACTGCCAATAAATTCATATATGCTGATTAAATTCAAAACTTCACTGATATCCTACCCTGGCTTTGACTGCATGTGTGTAGCAGCAAAAGAGCAGATTATTAATAAAGCAAATAGTTTCTTTCAATCAGTATAAAAAGCAGCATTGCCTCTCAATCTGCTGCCAAAAGTGCTGAATCGTTACCTTGTCAATGATGGTTCGAATCTCATATAGCTTTTCTGTAGGATCTCCAGCTTCTGAGAGAGGTGCATCATAGTCATAGCTAGTAGTGATAGGATAATACTTGTTCTTATAATCAGCACCTGAGTAGAGAAATCTATGAGAACAAAACAGGCTTCTGGATTTCTAACTCCCATCTGCAATTAAGTACTTCTATTTTCCAGCCAGAAGCTAAGCCTCAATGTCTGACTGAGGTAGCAACCCAAAGGACCCCAAACTCACCACTCCAATAACCAAAGTTGGTGCCGCCCTGGAACATATACCTAGAAAAAGATCAAGCAGCAGAGTAAGAATTCACTTTTCATATAAGCACTGAGACAATGACCGGTTGTGGAATTAGGAAAAAATGGACAGGTGCTACAAAAGGAACAACAGTTTTGCACACTGGATAAACCATAATGTGGCCTGTCTGGTTTTTGGTTAGAATGATATGTGATTCCAGCCAGTCAGTCATATTAAGTAAGATAAATAGTGAACCCAGAGTAGTCCCAAATATGCTCCAGTTTCACATTACATCTTCATTCTGCTGGAAAATTTTATCTGCTATGTGTGGAAATCATTAAAGAAAAGATTGTNTTAATCTTGCATCCCGAAAAGACTCACAGAAGACTGCTGCTGAGTCACAACAACTTTGTATATCAATTTGTTCTAAGTCTCAAATAAAGTTCCTTCTCTCTTAATCCCAATTCAGCCAAATTATCTAGTTCTCTTTCCAACTCTCTCTATAGGTAGTCCTCAACTTACAACCATAATGGACCTTGCCCATTATGGTCAAAAGTGGTGATGTATATTAAGCAAGACAGCATCACTTATTGACCACCACCCTCTTCTCTCCCTGATGTAGTTGTTAAACAAATGTTTAGATTAGCCATAGGAGGCCTAGTGCAGGCTATTTTTTTTACTACAGGCATCTGGACGGGGGACAGAGCCTCCCACCACCACTACTATCAGTTCGCCCAATCCGGGCCGAACTGGGAGCAACCCACCTCGGGGCATGCCTCCACATACCTATGTGACATCCTTGTTAATAAGCTGCACTGCCAGTTTACCTATGGATACCATATGAATGCTATACATGACATAGGTGGGCTATTTGAAGGACTATCTCCTCTGGTATCTATTGATTGGTCGATCCAATAGGATTGGCATTTCTATATTACTTCAATGAAGGAGCGCCATCTACAGGAACCCTGAAGGAGTGCATTCACTATTGTGATACCAGTCCTCTATCATGAGGTTTCCTTGAAAGCCTGACTCTTTTAATGGTTTAAAAAGCCTTAAAAGCTTGGCTCTTCTATTAACATTCTCTGTTATATATAGTTTTCCCTACATTGTCTGGGCCTTTGAATTTTTCCATGCTATATAATAAAAATAATTACAGTTAATGTTAGCCATCTATTCTCATTTTTCCTTTTATTTTATCAACCATCTAAATTCAATATCATAATTGCCATTATAGTCTTTTAGAACATAAGCCATTTTATTGTGATATATCATCTGATTTGTGGTAATTTTTTATATGAGTTTTATTATTTTATTATTTCACATGTTATATGTCTGTTCGGCATGGATTGGCTTTCTAAATACTGTGAACAAATAATATTTAAGTTTTGACTTTCTGCTATATCACTTCATCACTCACACAAATCATGACACTTTATATTAAGACAACTGCTTTTCTCTTTCTTTCTTTTTCTTTCTCCTTCTTTCTTTCTTTCTTTCTCTTACTCATTCTTCCTTGTGAACAGTGTTGATTCAGGGCTGAATATAGCATTTCCATATTTATGTCCTCTAAAATGGAGTTTTAGCAGATAACCAATAAAACCCAAACTGTTCCTCTTCACCGATCTACTTATTTAAACAATAATAAAGCCAAAGAAAACATATTAGCCATGAATGAAAAGTATGTATAGATTTTCTTTCTATGTATCTTTTTTCTATTGTAGTGGGTGTCCAACAAAATTCACACTAAAAATAAGCACATGTTCGGTTTTTCAATTGAAAAATACATTTTCCCCAAATAGAATGCAAACTTGCAGCCCAATTGCTCCATCTAGTGATTTCTAGCTTTCACAACACCAATCTCTGTAGTACCAAGGTAACTTATCTTTGGAAAGTAAAATATTTGACATCATTAAATGTCCCAAAAGTGTTTTTTTTTCCAAGAAGCAACTGGACTTGTTTTTCTTTGAAGATGTTTCACTTCTCATCTGAGAAACTTCTTCAGCTCTGACTCAGTCAGAAGCTTTTGGACAACCATCACCTGGATAACTGAGAACCTCTAGACATTTAGGCATCATTGAATGGCTATTTTAAATGTAAACTTTAGATGTAAACATATAGTTTGTCGGCTCTGTATGTTCTGGTTTTAATCTTTATGGTTTGGTGCTGGATTACCTGCAGAACAGCATCTCCCTTCTTGAATCCGCTCAAGCACTCTGATTGTGCCAAGTAAATCAGTTGGCTGACCATTTGCGGGAGATTGTGGAGGCCAAAGTCCAGAAGCATTATTTTCCCATAATGAGGCTAGTAACTTGGAATGGCCTTCCATGAGAGGTTCTATTGATTCTAATATTATCCACTTTCCAGAAACATCTGAAGATGGAATTGGGCACTGACACCAGTATTGTTGTGGGGTTTCCATATATTGCATAGTATTATTCATGATTATGTTATTGTCTTTTTTGTGAGTCACCAGGAGTCTTTATTATTGTAGAGGAAAATGAAATAGGATGAATGGATGGATGGATGGATGGATGGATGGATGGACGGACGGACGGACGGACAGAGCATAGAGTAATATTTATTTCACACATTTATCTGGCCAGCAAACAATAGCAAAAAATAAGCATAGGCCATTCAACAATTCAAACAATAAAAGTAGCAATAACCAGGAACTCACAATTGGGAAGAAAAATGCCCAGAGGAAAACAAGAAAAGCCTGAAGGCATGAGCTCCCTGTGATATCAGTACTCTGCTTCAGAAGTGCAATACTCAGAATTGATGGCGTTACAAAGTTAAAATCAAAGAAACCAGAGGATGACATTTTGGCCTTCTGGTATTCAATACAAGAAAAGGATGGAAGATGCACTTGGTCTGGCTTGTTCAGAGCGATGAAGCTACAGCCAGGATGGGAAAAAGGAAATTGTTTCTGAAGATCAATTCAATCAAAGTTCATACAAAAATAAGCTGTCTAAAAGGAATAACAAATAAAAGTACCACAAGGAGTGAGGAAATAGAATATAAAATTTCTGAATGTTAAGTAAATTGTTGCTCAAAAACATGCTTGAGTTTAATCAAACCTATATTTCTATTAAACAGACTCACAGTTGTGATCAAGACAAAATGGCCTGACAGTGAAGATCTCCAAGAAAAGAATGATTCAGGGCCAAAAGCATAACAACAGAAATATATTATGGGTTAATAGAATTAGATCCATATCAGGATGAAGATAGAATAGTTTTTCTGATTGGAATAATTTCACTCTGTGTTCCTTTCGTTTGTAATGGGGAAAAATAAATCATCTTCTGAGATTTCCTACCACTGTGAACAGCAGGTAGGCAGAAGAAAATCTGGTTTTGATTGAAGAGACAGAAGCTTCAAGTTTTCCTCTTATATGCCATAATTGTCAGCTCCTATCCACCCCCAGCTATTTATTTTATTAACATAAGCAAATATCACATCTAATTCAGCTTTCAAGAGCTGTCCTAGATTTGATTCTAGGACTAAAAAAGCCAGTTTGAATCCCTTCAATGTTTCTGAAAGACCTTTTATTGAATTTATGGAACACGAGGCACAGAATATCATTGCAAACAGCATTTCTAGACTAAGTAATAAACTTTGAAGATACAGTATGTATTTCCTAAACTCAAAGGCAATTTGCAACTTACTCTAGATAATAATAGATTAAAACAGAAAACTCTGGTCAGTGTTTTTGTAAGCTTCATAGCAAGAAAGAAGGTTTCTTCATCTGGTTTTAAAATGAATGTACAGGTAGTCCTCAACTTAAAACAGTTTATTTAGTGACTGCTTGAAGTTTTAATGACAATAACAATAAAGTTATTGACATAAGTCAATATTGACTTATGACCATTTTTCACTTTCAGCCATTGCAGCATCCCATTCATCAAAATTCAGACGCTTGGCAATTGACTCATATTTATGATGGTTGCAATGCCCTGGTCACATGATCACTTTTTGTGACCTTCTGACAAGCAAAGTTAATGGGGAAGCCAGATTCACTTTATTGTATTACTAATTTAACAATTGCAGTGATTCATTAGCAACTGTGGCAAGAAAGACTACCTGTACAAATGTTTAATAAGATTTTAAGATATGTTATTGTGTTATGCATTTCTTCTGAAACATAAGTATTTTTTAAAATACATTTAGTGCTTCTCTTTGTCTTTTTACTCTAGGGGGGGGGGACTTGATAGCAGTATTCCAGTATTTGAGAGGCTACCACAAAGAGGAGGGGTCAACTTATTTTCCAAAGCACCGAGGACGGGAGAAGAAACAATGGATGGAAACTAATCAAGGAGAGAAGCAATCTAGAATTAAGGAGAAACTTCCTAATAGTGAGGAAATTAACCAATGGAACAGCTTGCCATCAGAAGTTGTGGGTGCTTCATTACCAGAGGTTTTTTTTTAAGAAGAGACTGGACAGTCACTTATCTGAAACGACTGTTGACTTACCTGAACAGGACTGAGTTATGTAAATTGGTGACCACGCCTCCTCTGACTGGATGGGTCAGTTTTGTACGAAGTCAGCCGGGTAATGATGTATAGCAATGTCAATGATGGCCATAGCCCAATAAGTTGTTGTAGTCACTTCAGAACAAGTCAAGTCATAAGTCCGGTAAAATCAGTCAGAGTCAGAGTCACGAACAGCCCTGGCCAGCTGCGGGCGGGTTTGGATTCCCCTCGCAGCACACATAGAAGGACCGTTCAGGTAAGTCAACATAGAAGGACCGTTCAGGTAAGTCAACA